CTCTATTTTGTGCTGTTTTGGGCACTTTTGTTCAATCACCACGACAGGGGAGGCTTTTCCTGGCTCTGCCCAGCTCAGATGTTTCTGTTCCAGGCTTCTCCTCCCTCCTGTGCCTGGTGTGTGGCAGAGGAGCAGCTGCTGTCTGTGCAGGTGAGGGGACAGTGGTGCTGCTCCTCCTGCAGCACAGGAATTCCAGCTCTGGGGACAGCCTGGGGTCCAGCACAGCCCCTGAACCCAGGGATGTTTGCTCCTGGGTCCCAGAGGGAGCTCCTAAGGCAGCCTGGCCAGCATTGAGCTGCAAGGTGAGGAAATGATGGAGGAAATGTGAGGGCACCACCTCTGTGCCCTGCTTCCCCCTGGATGTGGCTTTGGGGGAAAATGTGGAGCAGGAATTTCTTCCCTGGGTCAGCTCTGACCCAGCCCCACTGGGGAGGTGAAATCTTGTGGGGTTTCTGTCCCTCTGTGCAGGTGCAGTCCCTGGGGAGCTCTGAGCAGCCCAGGCCCAGTCCAGCTGGAGAAGGAGCTGCTGCTGCTGCTGGTGCTGGTGGTTCCAGTGGCTGGGACTGAGCCTGAGGTGACTGGCACTGCTTTTCCCACAGCTCCTCCTGGAAGAGGATGCAGAGATCCCAGCTGGGAGAGGCTCAGGTGCCTGGAAATGTCATCTAAATAGTACAGAAGGTAAACAGGGAAAGGCCAGGCTGTGTTTGGGCCCAGCACAGGGGCACAGCCTCCTGCTCACTGTGCTGGGGCTGCTTTTCCCTCTCCTTGAGGAGGAGAGCAGAATCAGGGCTTGGGTTTCAGAAAGGAAAGGAATTTGGAAGTGTTTTTGTTTGAGGAGAAGCTGTAAGGGGTTGATGGAGACAGGAATGTTGCCCCTGCTCTCTCTCCAGGCTGCTCAGGGTGTGAGGATCCCCTTGCCCAGGATTTCCACTTTTAGTTCCCAGTTAAGCAATTCCAACTTAACTTAACCTCTTGTCAGGGTGGGACAAGGACACCTTGGCCCTGTGTGCACTGCATGTGACAGCAGGGCAGCCAGAGCCAGGGCCCATCCCCTGGAGAGCTCCCCTCAGCTCCTCAGCACTCCCTGGGGATTCACTCAGGAAGGTTTGTACAAACACTGGAAGAACTAAAAGCTTTGGTATATTTTCATTGAGTCTGTGTTATTAATCCCCTACAGATTTCTTGCCTTTTGGCCTGGGAGTGCTCAGAGGTGGCTCAGGAGCTCAAATGTGGAGGAAAAGGGGATCCTGAACTGGGGAAGGGTTCCCAGCTGCCAGGTACAGAATGGAAATGCTCTCCTTGGCTTCAGCACTCCCAGAGCTGGGTGGGAATGACTCAGTGCCTGTGTGGGTGCCTGCTCCCAAAGCAGCTCCTGGCTGGAGCTGCTCCCTGCTTTTCATCTGTGCTGGGAATGAGCTGGACACGATCTGGGCCCCATTGGTTGGTTCTGGGCACGTTATTAAGTCAGGCTGACACAAAGAAGTGCCTTAAATACCTTCAGATTCTCCCTCCTCTTGCTGAGCAGGGCCAGCTGGGAGTGAACTCCACCCTAAAGCCACGATCTTGGGTGAGATGAGCTCTAGGCTGAAGATATCTGCAGTAATCCCTGAACTGAGAGTATTTGGAAATGCAAAAGCAGCATTTATGCAGCTAATACAGCATTGCTGATTGCTCTGGAGCCCAGCAGGGGACAGGAGGAGCAGATGAGGTAAAATCAAAGCCATTTTGAGTCAGAGGCAAGGTGAGCATTGTTTACCTGTCAGCTCTACGGGTTTCAGTGACACAGTCCCAATGTCCATCCTCCCTGAAGTGTCCTTTGGTGGAACAGACATCCCTGGAGGAGCAGAGTTTGCCAAAAAAGTGTCTGTGGAGCAGGGGATTCACTGCTCCACATCCAGGGGACCCTCGGCTTTCATTTCTCACGTGAATCCCTTTGGATGGCTCTGATCCCATCAGCAGCTCCACAGGGACCTGGGAATCCTCCAGGTAAGGGACCAGGCCAAGGTGGGGGCTCCTGGACTGCAAATAAATCCCAGTTGGGAATGAACAAATTCCTGTGAGCAGGGGGACAGTCAGGAGCAGGGCAGGGCCTGTCCCCTGTGCTGGCCCTGCTGAGGGACCTCCAAGGGGGTCCAGTTCTGGGTCCAGTTCTGGGCCCTCAGGCAGGAGGGACCTGCAGGGGCTGGAGCCTGCCCAGGGAAGGGAATGGAGCTGGGAAGGGTCTGGAGCCCCAGGAGGGGCTGAGGGAGCTGGGAAGGGGCTCAGCCTGGAGAGAAGGAGGCTCAGGGGGGCCCTTGTGGCTCTGCACAGCTCCCTGGGCAGTTCCAGTGCCTGAGCCCCCTTTCCATGGGGAAATTCCTGCTGTGCCCACCCTGAGCCTGCCCTGAGCCCGTTTTCCATGGGGAAATTCCTGCTGTGCCCACCCTGAGCCTGCCCTGAGCCCCCTTTCCATGGGGAAATTCCTGCTGTGCCCACCCTGAGCCTGCCCTGAGCCCCCTTTCCATGGGGAAATTCCTGCTGTGCCCACCCTGAGCCTGCCTGGCCCAGCCTGAGGCCGTTCCCTCTGCTCCTGTCCCTGTTCCCTGGAGCACAGCCTGGCCCCCCCAGCTGTGCCCTCCTGGCAGGAGCTGTAGGAAAAGCAAAGAGGGGCAGATTCCCCTCCCTGCTCCTGCCCCTGGAGCCTCCTTTGGGGCAGCTGGGAGGTGGCACCTGCTCCCAGCCTGGAGTGCCAGCAGCACCAGAAACGAGCCCAAGCTGGAGTTCACGGCCATGTCCAGAGAGGAGTTTTTATTTGTAGGAACAGCCACTGCAGCACAGACACTGAGCACAGGCAAGGACTGGCACCACCAGCCACAATGGGCAAAGCTGAACTGGGAGGCCACAGGAGCAGCCAGGGGAATGCAGAGTGGGGCTTTCCATGAGACCCCTCCTTTTCCAGGGAATTCTCCACTGCTGATGGCACTGCTGGGTCACAGAAGCTGTGCTGGGATTATTGGCTGAGGGGGCAGGAGCTGCCAGGTGGGTCCTGACAGGGTTGCTGAGCCCAGGGAGGGATTAGAGGTGTCCTGGTGTCCATCCAGGACATGGACATTTGGTGTTTGGAATTTCATCCAGTGGGAAGGGCTTCTTCTCCCAGTGAGAGCCTTTGACCATTTTGGCTGGTGAGCCACTGCTCCCATTGACAGAGCCTTGGGAATGTTGCCCCTGGGGAAACCGGGAGGTTATTTTAAATTAAAAAGAGATCTTTTCCTAATGCACGTAAAAATAAAGGAGAAAACAACACCTGAAGGACAAAGCAGAACCAAAGAACCCCTCCCTGTGCTGCTGGTTCCATCTCACTCCAGGAAATTTCACACCAAGATTTGATGCCCTTCAATGGGGACAGAGAAAAGCTTTTTTCAGGATTTCTTTGAGAAATTTGACACTTGAGGTGAAACCATGAGGCATTTCCACAGAGGGGAGGATCACAGCACTGAAGCAGCCCTGGATGGTTTTTTTCCCAAATTTTCAATAATGGCTTTTTTCTCTCCACAGTTCTGGTGTCAAGAGTAAAGTTAAATGATTTTTTTTTTGGAAATAAAACCCTGTAAAAACAGGTCACTGCCAGCCAGGTCCCAGAGATGAACCAGGAGCACCTTCCACCACAAGCACAGGTAATTGGTGTCTTTCCAGCAGCCAGCAATTTTCTACCTCAGCATTCCAGCTGGGCTCTCTCTGCCCAGTGTCCTTCTGAGTCCTACAGGAAAAGGGTGTGAAGCTTTATCAGTGACTTTGCTGTGGAAGAAGTATTTAAAGAAGTCAGACACCATGGCCAGGAAGCCACTTGTTCTTCTCATGCACAACGTTTCTCCTACTGAGCAACATTTTTGTTTGTTCCGAGCGGGATTTGTCTGTTTGCAGTAAATACCTGTCACATAGCAACAGAAATATTACTAAATAATAATACATTGAATGTTAAGCTCCTTGGTCTAGAAGCTTTTAATGAAAAAACCACATGTTCCTGATAAAAAATAATAAATAATGTCAGCTTTTCTTTGTACATTAAAAATATCTGTACATGGTTCCACGATATGACAAAGTACAATTGTATTTTCTAGGCTCAGGGTGGCATCTTGGGGTAGATCTTCACCTAAAAAGGGTCGAGGCTCGTGGTCTTGATCCTGCATGAAAATCCTTTTTTCAAAATTTGTGGAGTTCAGAGCCTTGCCCACCCTTTCCATGCAAAGGGGGAAGCAGCCCACGAGGAACGTGGCAACACCAACATGCAGGAAGCAGCTGAGGACTGAGATCTTGGCAAACGTGAGACTGGAAAGTCTGGAAAACTTCTTGCCTCGACTGGAAGAGACCAGCAACAAATAGAAAAATAAAGGTGGCAAAGGTAAGTAGAAGTCTCTCTTCCAAATGTAGCTAGAAAAGGGTTTAGGTGGTTTGTTTTCCAAGATGGCACTTAGTGATCCATTGGCTCTGGCTCCTGGCCAAGCCTCTGCTGCCTCAGAATGCCCAAAGTTTGCTCAGGGGAGGGATGGGGACAGCTCTGGGCTCCAGGGCACGTCCCATCCTCTGGGAATGGCAGAGCAGGGCCATGGCTCTGAGCTGGGCTGGCCCTGATCAGCTCCTGCCCACCCTGGGGCCCTCCCTGGCCAGGAAGCACCAGCAGGGCATTGCAGAGCTCTGCTGGGGCTGGAACCAAAGGGCAGCAAACGTTTCCTCTTGTTCTCCTGGAGAAAACGTGGGGCTGCTCCTCCCCTGGCAGTGCCCAGGCCCCAGGCAGAGCCAATAGGACAGGACAGCTCGGTGCCACCCCAGAGCTGTGACCTCCAGGGTGGGGTGGGTGAGCAGGGGGCAGCTGGAAAGGAGAGGAGCAGCTGGGAAGGAAAGGAGCAGCTGGGAAGGAAAGGAGCAGCTGGGAAGGAAAGGAGCAGCAGGAGTCCCTGCACAGGCTGGTTTGGAGCTGTTTTGGTCCTGGCTTTGCCAGGAATGCCTCACTCCTGGAGCAGGGCTCTGGCACAGCTCCAGCTGCTCCAGCTGCAGGGACAGGGACAGGGACAGCAGTCCTGACCCTCCCCGTGCTCCCACCCAGCTCCCACAGCTGGACATTCCTGGGAATTCACTGCAGGAGGCACCAGGACAATGCAGATGGATGGATTTTCAAGTGCTGCTGTCTGTGAATCCTTGGGATATCCTAAAAGGCCTCTGTTCCTCCTCCTCTGGGCCAGGACTAGAAACAGGACTCTTGGGATTCAGGGTCGGGGTGGATGGGAAGCTTCTCTTGTTCCTGGTGGTGCCCGTTGTGTAAAACCTTGTACCTGGCAGGGGAACACAAACCTTGGTCAGTGCCAGCTCAAAGGCCAAACTGATGGAAAATGAGATCAACAAACCCCAAAGTGTATTTAAGAGAGTGATTCTTCCAAATATCCAAATCCCACATTAAAAAGTGTGAATGCCTGCTTTGGGAATGAAATCTTCAGTGTGGAGCAGTCAAAGCAATGTCTGAAAACCAAGAAGCTGTTGGGTTTCAGGTGTCTGAGGTGAGTGTGGGCTGAGGATGCTCCTGCAGGAATTCCCAGCTGGATGCTGGCTCCCACCATGGCCAGGGCACTGAACGTGCAGGTGTTTCCCTCCAACATCCCTTGGAACTGAACTCCAGCACTTCAAACAAGGACCAGGAATTTTTAAAATGTGCTCCCAACAAGTCCCAGACTGGATGCCAGAAAGAAGCAGAGACATTTTGCACCTCACACTGAACAGACTCCAACAAGACAGCCACGGAGAGAGAACAGAGCTGGGACTGAGGGACCAGGTCAGACAGGGACACTGTGGGACACAATCCAGCCGGGACACCTCGGGAATGCCAAAGGCTCTGCCACAGACAGGACATGGAGAGAGCCCGGACACCTGGGGCAGCTCAGCACCATGGACAGGGACTGGGACAGCCAAGGATCCCAATGGACAGGGACTGGGATATCCAGGGATTCCAATGGACAGGGACTGGGATATCCTGGGATCCCAATGGACAGAGACTGGGACAGCCAAGGATCCCAATGGACAGAGACTGGGATATCCAGGGATTCCAATGGACAGGGACTGGGATATCCAAGGATCCCAATGCACAGGAACTGGGATATCCTGGGATCCAAATGGACAGAGACTGGGAAATCCAGGGATCCCAATGGACAGGGACTGGGATATCCAAGGACCCCAATGGACAGAGACTGGGAAATCCAGGGATTCCAATGGACAGGGACTGGGATATCCAAGGACCCCAATGGACAGAGACTGGGAAATCCAGGGATTCCAATGGACAGGGACTGGGATATCCAAGGATCCCAATGGACAGAGACTGGGAAATCCAGGGATTCCAATGGACAGGGACTGGGATATCCAAGGATCCCAATGGACAGAGACTGGGAAATCCAGGGATTCCAATGGACAGGGACTGGGATATCCAAGGTTCCAGACAGACAGGAACTGGGAAATCCAAGGATCCATCTGGACAAGGACTGGGACAGCCAAGGATCCATCTGGACAGGGACTGGGACACCCAAGGATCCATCTGGACAAGGACTGGGACACCCAAGGATCCATCTGGACAGGGACTGGGACACCCAAGGATCCATCTGGACAAGGACTGGGACAGCCAAGGATCCAAACCTTCCTCCGTGTCCTGCGGCCGTCCCAGAGTGGAGCAAGAGCAGCAAGAGCAGGTGGTGCTGATTGTTAGAGGTTCATTAAGCTAAAGAGGAGTCCTTAAGGTGTCCCAGGATGTCGTGTGGCACAAAGTGTCTGTCTGAAGCCTCTGGCAGTGAGTTCAACACTTCCAGCTGTTTACCCTGTGGGGAAAGAGGACTGCTAGGACAGGAGGAAAGAGCATCCCTGGCTCATGGCTTGCTCAGGTACCAGCACATCGTTCCTAAAATTTCCCCAACATCTCCAGGAGTCTGTTAAGGGAGTCCTCTGCTGCCAGGCCTTTGTGTTCCGTGGGGTTTTCCATGCCCTGCAGCCTTTCCCTTCAAATGTAAGTTCAGAGCCCCCTGCCAGTTGTAGGGCACTGATTTAGTGCTGGATAAAAGCTGGGATTTTACAGCCCTGCTTTTGTTCTCACACGAAGTTTTTGTTCTCTCTCTTTCCCTGCACCTTCACTGATCTCTCTCTGAAAATACACCTAATTTCTCAGCTCTTGGTACCTGTGGGCAGCAAGTTTCAGAGAAATTCTCATCTGCACCCGAAATTCAGCTGCTCCCCCTGCAGGAACACACCCGGTGTGCCTCAGCCAGGGATTTATCCTACAATGCAAGGGGGAAGCAGCACTGGAACCCTCCCTGTGTGGGCTGAAGGCTTCCAGAGAAAGCAGCCAGGTAGGTGTGAGAAAAAAATACATCTGAGGGAGCTGGAATGTGTGTGCAGGGAAAAAAGAACATTAAAAGGGTTAAATGCATTAAGTAAATTATCTACAGCAAATTAACTGCGCTGTTTTATTGCCCTGATGGGCTCCTTGATGGGATTTGTGCACCCCCCAATAAATAAATTAAAAAGCAATAAATCCCAACAATGGGAAGGCCCTGCCCCTCCAGGGACCTGCTGCTGTTCTGAGCTGTTCACTTTGTTTGCTTTTCTCATTCTCCAAACTTCTCCACTTTCAGATATTTTCCCCCTTTCTGATCTGGAGCAAGTCTTCAACTCCTTGTGAGATAAAACAAAGAAGAAAAAAGCAGAAAAGAGCAGACTCCAATTGATGTTCAATGCCCTTTTCTGCTTTTATCAGGGGCCTGATCTCCCCACTGTGATATTGGCAATTTTGGGAGCGAACATTCACTGCCTGTGTCTTCATTTTCTCCTTTTCCAGTTGCTGAAGCCCAGCTCCAAATGAAACAGTTCCAAACACTTTTCTTCCTTCATCTACAAGCAGAAACTCCCCCAGGAGCAGCCACCATCCCACCTGGAACAGATCTCCAAGGAAAAGGCAAGCAGGGGATGGTGGCTCCCACTGTATCACAAACCTTTTGTTATTTGCAGGAGCACCCAGGAAAGATTTGCTGGGACCAGAGGAAAACAGGATGAAATTATGTAAAATGGATAAACTGGGAAGATTTGCATTTGGCTTGAGCAGAATCCTGCTCTCAATAATTTATTTTTTTACCATTTTTCTCCTCCACCACCTGAAATAGTGGAAGGTAGAAGAGGCTTTGAGGTAAAAGTTGGCTGGAGCCACATTTTAAATGGAACTGAGCTTCCAAGCTGAATGAAGGATTGAAACTTTTCCAAGATTTGACAATTGTGTTGCTCCACAATTTATCTTTCCCTGCATTTTCCTTTCTCTCCCAAAGTGATTTTCCTCTGGAATATTTGCAGCACCACTGCTGGAACTTCACCCTCCAGATTGTGTCCATTCCTCAAAGCTCTGCTGCTTCCAGAGGGACTTCCAAGAGCAAGAACAAATACTTGATCTGCAGTGGGGATTGTGGTGAACAATCACTTGGCAGAGGTTATTTCAATGAACACGTCCCTGAAATCAGCCTTGCACCATCTGCTCACTTCCAGAATTATAAATTCTGAATTAGAAAACAACAGAATTCATAAACCACTCTAAAAGTGAGGGGAAGAGTGCAGCTTCAGATGATTTTTGTGCTTCATCCCAGCCTGTGCTGGCTCTGCTCTGCTCCATTCCTGTGTCAGGAATGGGTGGAAAAGAGGTTTTTTGTTGGGTTTTTTTTTTGATTTCTGTGTTTTATGGCAGCCACAAAGCCCCAGGAGCCAAGCCCTGGAAGGGCAGGATGGGTCTGGGTGGCACCAGGAATTCCCCAGGCTGGAAGCACCAGGAAAGATCCCACAGGTGGAGCTGCAGTGGGCCAGGAACAAAATCTGAGTGTGTTCTCCAGGCATCAGGAATGTCCCCTGCTCCTGTCTGCTGGAAAGGGACTGCTGATATTTTTGGAAAATTGGGAGATGCTGGGAAACAGAGAACTGAGAAAAGTGTGACACAAAATCCAAGAATCTCTGGAATTCCCTATTTTAATCTGTGATATTTTTCCACTTTGAAAGAGCAAAACCCTCAAATCTGAACTCCACCAAATGTCAGAATGAACTGGGAACAAAATGCATTGCTCCATTTGCCTCTTCTGCTGAAAAAATGAATCCACAGAGGCCAAATTAAATGGAATTTCACAAAACATTTGCTTTTAATGCAGCTGCATATGAGACTTCCACAAATGAGAGCAGAATTTTCCCTCTCTCAGCATTCCCAGGTTCACAAACTCCAGAAAATCAAAAGCTTCCCAGTAACTCTGTAACCTTTGGGCTGAGTTTATCCTGCTCCCATCCCTGCAGTGAAGTTCTGCACTTGGCCATCAGCATAAAATCATTAGAGCAGGGTAAGAATAAATTGAATTATCCCATTACAGCCCAATGTGAAAACTCAGATCTTGGGAAAACGTTGGAATCGCTGAATTATTTACATGGCTCTGACAGCAATGTTGATTTTAGAGTCCTTTGTAGTCAAATCTAAACACAAATCTCTCTCTGTCTCATGACAAGTGTTTATTTTCCCACTCCTGAGCAGTTAAGCTGAATCTCTTAATTATCTTTAAATCAAATAATGCTGTTCCGACCTTGGGAGCTGAACTCAGCCCCTGTCATTCTTTGCTAAATATCAGGCAGAGGTTTTATAAAACATCTGTCTCCAGCCCACACCACCCAGCTTCCAGTGCACTTTGTAGGATTTCTGCAGAAATCCAGATTTAAAATTAGCAGTTCTCAAGTAAGTCAATACTTATTTCTCTTGAATAAGAGGAGCATAAAAAGAAAAGAAGAAGAAGATAAAGAGGAGATTTTTTTTTTATCTCAGGAAACAAAGAGAGCATCTCCCAATATGTTTGTGTCTCTTTTTTCCCCTCATTGTTCCATCATCTCTCTTTTTTCTGGCAAACCAAGACTTAACCCCCTCCAGTCCATTTATTTTTGTGTTTGCAGGAGCTGTGGATCCTTTTCAAGGAGGATGTTTAGAAGTGCAGGCAAATAATAACCTGAAATAGGATCTTGAAATAAAATGTCCAAACCCTTCAGCATCTGGTTTCCTTTTGGTTTTCTCCTGCTGAATTTCACCCAAATTTTGTTTCCCTGGGACTGCAGGTGCTCATTTCCATCTTCCTTTTTTATCCTCTTTATTGCCAGGCTCTATTAATGAATTTCTCTGTGGTCCTTTCCAATCCCCCTCACCACAATTGCTGAATTTGATAATTTTCCCCTTTTCCCCACTCTCCTGCTTTCAGCTGCTCCACCTGGATAATGTTTATAATTTTCCCTATTTTCC